CAAAAAAAAAAAAAAAAAAAAAAAAGGAGCCTCCCTTACTTGGGTCTGTGTGGCCCTTGTGATGTGTGGAGCTCCCAGATCCTTGGCAGGAGGGTTGTGTCCTCTCAGGTGCTTGCTGCAGGTTGCGATGCCCATGTGTTCACCTCTGGTGCCGTGGCCCTATTGCTTGGCACAGGTATTGTCTGAAAGGCACCAGGGTGGTGCCGCCTTCCCCAGCAGGGTTAGCTGGTTTGCGTTCCTGAGCTGTGCTCATCACTGACTTGGCAGCAGGGAGGCTGCAGGGGTTCTGGCTGCAGGGGTGACTGGGATCTGCATCACCTTGGTTCCCAGCACATGGCACCTGCTGGTAGTGGGAGGTGCAGGGCGCTTCCTCCAGGTCCAGGTTCCCAAAGGCAGGGAGGACTTACTGGAATGGGAAGCTGTTGGAGGAGCAGAGGAGAGCAGCTTGGGCCAGCTGTGTGAGACGCCTACATGACACAGTGGAAGACACTGCCAAGGCCAAGGGGATGGGAGTGGCTGGGGTCCAGGGAAGAGTCTGGGCTCAGGAAGGAGGCAGTTGGATCAGCAAGATCTGGAAGGCCAGGGAGCTGAGGACAGTCAGTGGCTTGAGTCAGCTGAGAGGCCAGCGAGCTGCCCAACCAACCTCCCATCCCTGTTCAGAGGCTGTGGGCTTATGCCTGAGATGTAAGCTTACTTGTCATTTCCACTTGGGTAAGGATGCAGGCTCTGTATAAAAACTAGGTGCAAAGCTGAGAGAGGAGTAAGTCCCCAGACGTACAGTTCACTTCTGATTTCTGTACTTTTATCTATTTTTACATTATTTTTGTACTCAAGGTGTATTGTGCACTTTGATTTTCTTTTTAAGCAAAGTATCTTGGAAAAAAATCTCCAGAACAGCTGAGGGGCTCCCCCACTTTTTTGTGGTACTGGAGATCAAACCCAGAGGTACTCTACTCTGGGAGCTACATCTCAGTCCTTTTTATTTTTTTATTTTGAGACAGTGTCTGTCAAAGTCGCTAAGTTACTCAAACTGGCCTTGAACTTGGGATCGTCCTACCTCAGCTTCCCAGGGTGCTAGTGGCGGGGGTTATAGGTGTGTGCTGCCACACCTGGCTGAAGTGCCCCCCTTTTAATGGCTTCAGAGTATGCCCCACTGTGAGGTGAGGGCTAACGTTGCTGAGTGTGGAGGTCCGGGCTGTCCCAATGGGAAGGGAGCTGCTGTGGGCAAAGGGCAGATGTTTCTCCTGACTGCATGTCCTGGAGACAGTGAGGTGTGACCCCCAGCTGAACCTGGGCCTCTCTGACAGAGTATCTTCCTGTTATTCCAATTTGTTTAATCACAGCAAGGGTGAACCTTTCCCAAATTTGGGGCAGTTTCTATTACTTTTTTGGGGACTGTACAATATATCGATTCCTGTGTTTTTCCTATTTTTTTCTTAGATTACAGATCTTTTTCTGACTTGATAGGATATTTAAAATATATCCTTATATAGGGATTCTGTTTGGCCAAAAAAGTTGATTGGGGCCGGGGATTTGGTTCAGTGGTTCTGCCACCTGCCTTGCAAGCACAATGACCCAAGTATGATACCCTGTACCAAAAAAAAAAAAACAAAAAAAACAAAACAAAACAAACTTGATTGACAGAGAATCAAATGCCTCTTGGAATAAAAATAGGTATGTCTACAAAAAATAAAATAATAAAATAAAACAGAATGCATACCACATTAAAGATTAAAAGGTTTACCTATAATATGCCGGATGTCGTGGTGCACATCTATAATCCTAGCCGTAGGGAGGCTGAGGAAGGAGTACTGTGGTGAGCTCAAGGCCAGCCTGAGCTACATAGGTAGACTCTATCTCAAAAAACAAAAACACATGGGTAGGGGATTTAGTTCAGTGGTTCAACTGCCTGTCTTGCAAGCGCAAGGACCAGAGTTCCATCCCAGTACCAGAAAAACAAAACAAAACACAAAAATGGAAAATCAAAAACCAAACAAACCATAAGCTACAATTTTTTCTAGTTTGTGTTTATCTTTTGACTTTGTTGATGATACGATTTAGACCCTGTTTAAAATAGTTTTATTTTGGCCAGGGATTTAGCTCAGTGGTTCGGTGGCCTGCCTTGCAAGTGCAAGGACCTGAGTTCAATCCCTGGTACTGGGAAAAAAAAAAAAAAAGTTTTATTTTTATGTGGTTCAGTTTATTGATGGGGTTATTACATGTGTAATAACTCTGAGAAGGAAAAAGAGGTCCATGGTGGCCTCGTGGCCTGTTTCACACCCCCCTCCGCCCTGAGTGGGTGGGTGGCTTCGGGTCTCCCTGGGAAGGCAGCCCTGTCAGAGGGCACTGAACAGGCTCATTCTACCTTGGGCTCTTCTAGGACCCATACAGTAGTTGTGGGTTTTTTTCCGTTTAAAGCTTTGACCCACCTGCTATTAATTTTGCTGTAAAACATTAGGAGGGAATTTCTCTGCTCCATCATTTTACTTAAGGTGCTAACCAGTTGTTTGTTTTTGTTTGTTTGTTTTTTGGTATGGTATCGAATTTGGGACCTTGCACTTTTGAGGCAGGTGCAGTACCACTGAGTAACATCCCCAGCCCCACCTCAGCAGTTGTCAACCAAGTGTGTGGAAAAAGCCACCCCTCCCCAGTGGACTTCGAGGCTGCCTCTCCTCACACAGTGGCTCCCAGCTCGCCCCAGGATCCACTCGTTCGCTGTGCTTTTTTCTTCAGGTAGTGGCTTTACAGTGAGTTTTAGTATTTCACAAGCCTAGTACCTTTTTACTCTTCTTAGTGGTTTTCCTACTGCATTAGCCATCTTTTCTGTTGCTGGAACAAAAAGTCTGACATACACAACTTAAAAGAGGAAGGCTTTGTTTCGACTCACAGTTTCAGAGAGTTCAGGCCCTGGTTGGCTGGCTCACGGCATGGGAAGGGTGCGGTGGGAAAAAGCTGCTCACCTCATGCCAGCAAGAAAGTGAGAGAGAGGAAAACGTCCGATCTGATCAAGGTGATGCCAGCCCATGTCCTCCAAGGCCCAGCCTCCCAGCAGCCCATTCGGCTGAGTCATAGGCGGGCTGATGCAGTGTGAGGAGGGTTAGCACCTTGATGAGCCAAGCCCCTTGGAAGCCCCGCCTCTGAACAAGGAGACCTTGGGAGGGCACTTAGGTCTGAGCCATAACACCTGCCCATTCTTACCTGCGTGATGCTTTTCCAGATGAACTTCACTGCCAGCATTTCTACCCTGCCCCTGTTCCTCTTGGTACTTCATTAAGATTTCATTAAACTCAGAGACAAATTAGGAAGAGTTGACATCTTTACCGTTGTTGAGTCTCCCTGTCAGAGTACAGCATCCATGCGTTTGAAGTGGCGATCTGTTGTGTCTCTGGGGAACATCCAAGTCTTCTTGAAAGCATCTCATAAGCTTGCCCCCATCTCCTGTTGCTGGTTCTATTGATGGAATCTTTCCCTCCTCCTCTTACCTAATGTGTGCATTTTCCAAGGCTCCCAGCCAGCTTCCTGACTTACATGGGACATGTCCACTGTTGCTTGTTCCGGCAGGAGGCTGGCTTTGGTGACAGATGTTTGTCATTCTTTGAGGCACCATCATGGTACATTGGTTATGTATTGCTCTGTAACAAATCACCCCAAAATTAATGCTTAAAACAACAATGAAAATTTAGGATCTCACAGCTAATGGGCATAGGAGGTAGTTCTGCTTGGTGTCTCTCTTGAGCTTGGGATTTGGCTGTTGGCTGAGGGCTCATCTGGGGTTGGGGCTGAGGGCTGGCAGGAGCCTCAGTTTCTCCCAACATGACCCTCAAGTGTGGCCCCAGTGCTAGTGGTCTAAGAGGGCAAGGAGGAAGCCAGCTATCTTCCGTGATACCTGATCATTTCTGCACATGCTCTTGGTTATGAGGGGGCCTTTAGTAGTGGGTGAGGCCAAGTCCAGTGAGGCTGGGGTGTCCTGGCTCAGCCTGGCATGGGGTACTTTGGTGCCTATCAGCTTAGCCTTTGGGTGACCGCAGTGGCTGAGGCTGGTGGAGGCGCTTCTCCAGTGAGGTCAGGAATTCAGGCACCGCTCAAGTGTGATTGCAAAATGCTCCCCGCTCTTCCTGCCCTTTGGGTGAAGTTTTCTCTTTCTCATTCCGCAGGAGCGCAGCATGAATATCTCTGTTGTTTTAAGGGTTTGGATGTAATTATTGTCTATCCAGTATACTAATTGGGCTGGTGACTTTTAGGAAAGGGTCCCTCCTGCAAAAGCTCCTGGCCCTCCACCTGCCTGGATCCCCAGGTTGCACAGAGTGCATTTGGCCCCCAGTAGGCATGGCACTGTGGGCTGTCAGCACAGGATCACATCTTCCCCCTGTGCCTGAAGCCACAGCGGTAGGGGCAGTGGGGAGCGTCAGTGGGTGAGGCTGGGAGCTGAGGAAGGGTTGGTTCAAATCCTGTGCTGGGCTTACCCAGGGAACCTCAGGGGTCTGTTCACCGCAGGCAGCCGGCAATTGGAGCTCTGCAAGGCAGGGAAGGAGCTGTCACTTGAGGGCGGTGCTGGGGGTGGGGCAGGGGGCAGTGAGGTAACTTCCGTGATCAGGCGTCAGAGGTTTGAGTCGCCCCAGGGGCAGAAACGAAAGTGATCTCTGCTCAGGCCAGTGCCTGTGCCGCAGGGTGAGCCCCCTGTGGTGGGAGGGCCTGGCTGGGCAGGGGAGGAGGCAGCTGTGCCGTGCGGGTCTGGGAAGCTGGGGACCCACACATGCCCTGGTGGGGACGGCTGGCTGAGTGCCCTGGAGGGACCCCCCCACCCCTGCGGCCCCAGCCCCACAGCAGTGCAGTCCAAGCTCCTGTTGAATCTCCTACTGGGAAATTTCTACTTGAGATAAAGGTGAGTTTGCAGACTCTGGCTGCCTCCTAGTCATTTCCTTCTAAAAAATCATCTCTGACCCCCCAAAGTTCCCCTTGAAATTTCCCCTTAGACCCAACCAGCAGTGTTTTTAGAGGCTCTTCCCTCCCCCATCGGGCTGGGGTAACATCAAATTAAAACCCGGGGCCCTGGGTGTTCCCTCTCCTGTCATATCTAAGGGAGCTCTAGTATCAACTGTCCCACCTGGGAAGGCCTAAGCAGTGACTGCCCCTCCCTGTGCCCCGCCGCCAAGTCCAGGTAGGACACTGTCCAGAAAGCCTCTGTCTTTACAAGAGCTGGGAGACCAGAGCCTGAGGGCCTTGGGTGACCAGAGCTGCAGATCTCATGGGGCCCAGGGACATACATCCAGGGGTGTCTTCTGCAGCCTCCAGGGCTCTCTTCTCCTCCAGCCACCAGCTGCAACTTCTGCCCCTTCGAGGCAGGGTCTGAAGACCCGTAAGAAGTGAAGGGGCTTGGTAGGTCCAGCTCAGCGGGCCTGATTCTTTGACAGGTCAAGACTGCTGCCCACAGTCCACTCCTTGGGCATCAGGTTGGGAAGAATTTCTCCTCTGCCCAGGGAGGATGTGTGGGTGTCTAGCTCCACCTTTGCCCTATCTGCATTTCCTGTTTCAGATGTCTCCCCATAGCCTGTGGTCCCTGTGGGCCAGCTGAATCCAGGAGTCCTGAACACCACCCTGAAGAACCCAGCTGGTATCAGAAACGGCATCCTGGGGTGTGGCATGTCGTCCTCCAGCCCCTTGGCCACCAGGGGGCCGCTTCTGGCCAGGCTCTGCACCCAAGTGGACCTCTGTCTGGGCTGCCCCCGCTGTGCCCAGCGTCTCAATGAGAGCACCTACATCCTGTGCGAGGTGGAGCACAGCTGCTCCCGCGAGATCCTTCTAGCTTGCTTCAAGGGAGCTGCCAAGAAGGTCTGGCGTGAGGTGGGCCACCGGCCCCGCTTCCCAAGGCCTTGGAGATATAAAGTGTGCCGCTACTACAACCCAGGGCTAGGCTGCCAGCACCACTGGAACAGGTGCACCTTTGCCCGCAGCCCTGAGGAGGCGCTGGTCTGGACCTTCGAGCTCAAACACAGCCTCTCCCGCCTATGGCTGAAGGCTGCAGTGCAGGGCGATGCTGCCCAGGACAGGCGATGCGGGGCTGCTGATGCCATCCTTGCAGAGTTCGGTGGCCACTTTCAGCTGCTCTGTGCCCACTGCTTCAGGGCCCACCCCCAGCGTCTCCACCCTGTGAACCCCCAGGGGCAGTGCTCTGAGCACAGAACCTGTCCCGCACTCCTGGTTCACGTCAGCACCCAAGGCCGCAAGCGCCAGTTTGTGGAAGTGCGGCCCAAGCCCCAGAGTGGCCGGCCGCTGCGCTACTGCAGGTTTGTGGGGCGTGGGCAGCCATGCCGTCACGGAGCAACCCGCTGCCAGTTTGCACACAGCGCTGTGGAGATGGCCGTGTGGGAGGCCGAGCAGCTGGGTGGGCTCCAGCGGGAGGTCCTGTGCACAGTTCCCACCCTCCAGAGGGACAAGGGCTTGGCCCCCAACAGCCAGTCCCCAGGGGGCAGCCAGCCCCCGGAGGTGGAGCTGTACTGCCGCACCTGCCTGCTCACCTACCGCTCCCAAGAGGCCTTCGAGAGCCACTGTGCCTCCCTGGAGCACTCACTGACCCTGGCCTTCGACCAGGCCACACCCTGGGAGCACCGCGCACCCCCCCTGGGGCTCTCCAAGTTTGAGCTCTGCCCAAGGTAAGGACAGCCAGGTGGGAGCCCGGAGGCTGGGGACAAACCCCTCACTGACCAGCACCGGGGCCCAGGAGGTTCGCAGGTTCTGAGGCTTCCTTGCCACCCGTTGTCTACTGCACACCAGGCTGGCTCCACCGTGGTCTCTGAAGACCTTGGTAAGGAAGGTTCTCTGTTGGGTACTATCTGTGCCAGGCCTGGTCCTGGGGACACAGGAGTAGACAGCAGATGGAGCCCATGCCCCCCAGCCTGGACACCATTCCTGCCAGAGAATGGGCTGCAGGGTCCTGGCCTTTGATCTCACCCTGTGGCTGTACCCCAGTGGCCTGCTAACCTCCCTGCCTTCCAGGCCTGACCTCTGTGAGTATGGGGCCATCTGCACCAAGGCACACTCAGAACAGGAGCTGCAGGAGTGGATCCAGCGGGCGGAGGCAGCAGAGCTGTGCGAGCAGGCAGCTTGGAAGGACGGGCTGGTGCCCTACCGGGCATGGCTGCTGGCCGAGTACCAGCGCAGCAGCTGTGAGGCCCTAGTGGTAAGTAGCAACCATGGTAGTGGGTGGGGAAGGGGTCCAGGGCGCCTGCTGAAGGCCAGCTTCTCTGTGCAGATGGCTGAGACTGTCTGTGGTGTGTCCATCACCTGCCATCAGCCCCTCGTACATCAGGCCCAGGAGAAGAAGATCCAGCACAGCTGGGCATTCTCTGTCCACTCTGAGGTAGGGATCACAAGCCCAGAGGCCTCAGCATGGGGGGCCAGCCCCAGCCCAGGTAAAGGGGCACCACAGGAGTAGGAATACAGCAGGGCAGACGTGGAAAGCCTCTGGTTTGCAGCTGGTCCATGGCTCCCCTCTACGTCTGTGACACAGGACAAGCCTGTGGCCTTTCTGCTTCAGTGACCGTGCCAGCCCCAGCCCTGTGGGGTCACTCTGCAGAGTGAGCAAGCTGCCATGAGGGAAAGGTCTGCCAGGGTCTGAAAGGGTGAGGCTGGTGACCACAGGCCCCTGGCAGCCCAGGCCGCGCACCTCACCTCTTAACACCCACAGGGCTTCGGGCAGGTTACCTGGCCTCACTCTGCATAAGGGGAAACCAGGTTTCAGAGAGGCAAAACAACCCGTGGGTCCTCTGTCCAAAAGGTGGCCCGAACCACCTCTCAAGAGGGTTGGTGGCCCCTGGTGTGGTGGTGCACACCCGTTCTCCCCACACTTGGGAGGCCAAGGTGGAAGGCCAGCCCGGGCTACTAGTGAGTTCAAGGCCAGCCTGAACTGCAAAGCGAGATCCTTTTTCAAACACTTGGGAAAAACGGAGGGTGGGGTCTAGATACCACACTGACGGGCCTCTCAAGCCCACTCACATTCAGTCTCCTTCCCCAGGACCCCCTGCTACATGTGGCCTTACTGAAGCAGGAGCCTGGAGCAGACTTCTCACTGGTGGCACCCTGCCTCCCCTCAGGCTGGCTCTATGCAAGTGGGGAGCGCTTTCGTGTGCCTAGCTCCCGAGCTGAATTTCAGGTGGGAGTGAGGGTGCAGACCACCTCCTTTGGCACCTTTGAGCAATGGGTGGTCTTTGACTTTGGCCGTCGGCCGGTGCTGCTTCGGAAGCTGCGGCTACAGCTGGGCCAGGCTCTCTGCTCGGAGCTCGGCGGGAGGGGCGGGAGGCCAGCACCTGGCCGGCCTGAGGAGGTGGACGTCTGGCACACTGGCAACCGCCACGTGGTGCCTTGTGTGGAGCGGACAGCAGAGCAGGCAGCCCTGATGACCAAGTACAAGGTGCCTACCCTGGGCCTGAAGGTCAGTCCCAGCAGCCTGGCCTCAGAGCCCATCTCTCAAGCCAACTATCGGCAGAACATGCACCACTTCCTCTATGAGGAGGAGGCTGCCCGGCGGCAGCTGGTGGCCAAGTGAGTCGGGGATGGCAGGTGGTGGGGCGGCTAGGGGTTCTCAGCTGGAGCTGGGCCTGGGGCTGAGGCCCAGTGAGCTGATGCAGGTTCTCTGGGATACCAGGCTGACCTTGCGGGGCCGGGTGTCCCTGAAGACTTCGCTGCAGACACCAGCACTCGGCATGCTCTTTGCACCCCCAGGATCCCTCTATGCCAAGGTCCTCGTCCCCTCTGCTCTGACACCAGACACGGCCCAGGGCTTCCTGCTGGGTCGGGAGGTCAGCACAGCCCTCGTGGCCCCTATGCCCGCACCTGACAACACCGTGTTCGAGGTGTGGCTTGAGAAGCGAGCCAGCTTGGAGCAGGCCTTGTGGCTACTGCTGCCCAAGCACTGCTGTGTAGCCCTGGGACTGCAGGCTGAGGGGAGCCCCATCTTGGAAGTACAGTTCCAGATTGACCCGCTCAACTTCTGGTTCTGGCATCAGGCAGTAGATGCCTTACCTGAGGAGCGTCTGGTAGTGCCCGACCTGCCCTCCTGTGCTCTGCCCTGTCCTCGTCCCATCCCACCCTCACTTCCTGGCAACCACAAGCAGAAGCTGGCTGTGGGGCTCATTGCAGGCAGCAGCACCGGGAGCACAAAGCCTGTCCCGCCGCTGCTCATCTATGGCCCCTTCGGCACTGGCAAGACCTACACTCTGGCCATGGCTACCCTGGAGGTCATCCGGCAGCCCCACGCCAAGGTGCTCATCTGCACCCACACCAACAGGTAAGCCACAGCCCTGGCCCCTGACCCCACTGCGGCCCCACTTCCTGGGGTGTCCTGGGGCGTCCGGCCAGCTGCCCTGGGCTTTTCCAGCCCAGTGGGGTTCCTGCGGGCAGTGTCTCTGTTGTTTGGGCAAGGGCTGAAGGTTCCCTCCCAAGGTTCTGGAAAAGGAGAGCTGTAGGTAGGGGTGTGGCTTGGCCTATCCAGCATTTCTTGGCAGTGCTCTTTGTTTTGTGATTTCAGAAACTCAGATTCCTCAACTGAGAATTTCCTGTTTGGCCAATATGGCTTTCTTAGTCCCCTACCATCAGATACAGGCATTCCTTATAACGACTGAGTTACAGTCCTATGATTAAATTAAACTGGTCACTGAATGAGGAATTGTGTACAGTGTGTATGCTACAATATTCAGAAAGAAATGCAACTCCAACTTGATGACTTTGGTTTTATTCGCGTAACTCTTACATGCGGCATTGCAATGTATAACAACGTAGAACTACAGTTCTGTCCTGTAGAGTACAATCAGCAAAAATTACAGTGTTTTACGGGAGAAGCAACAATAAGGCCACACTGCCGCCAGCATTCCTGTGTCGTAAGTCCGACCCGAGTCTAAGTCTGGGCAGTGGTGAACCAGCAGGGTGGTAGGCGAGGACTACTGTGCTGCACAACACAGAGTTGGGTAGGAGCTGAGCCTGGCTCTGCAGGGTCTGGGGGGCCAGAAGGGCAGGGTGATGGCCCGCTGGGAAGATGCCCACAGCCCTCCTGGGCCTCCTGACCCTTGGACTCTACTCCTAGAGTAGGGTGCCAGCCTCACTGCCCCACTGATAGTGCCTAGAGGCCACGCTCAAGGTCAGTGACAGCCTAGGCTGCTCAGTCATGGCGGCTCCTTTGCTTCTGTCCTCAGCCTGTGCTACGATGCACAGTCCTCTGCGTCTTTTCTGACCACCCAGGTGCTTCTGCTCCTGCTCAGCCCTCTTCCTTGTCTCTGACCTTTCTTTGCTGTGTGTCTGGCCCCTCTGTGGACACATGCACTTCTGGCAGGGCCTGTCTCCACTTCACAGGTGCCCCAGACGCGTCTGAGCATGCAGCAGGTGCTTTGGCAGACCTTGCCAAGACAGAGTGAGCAGCCCACATGCCTTGTCCCTTCCACAGTGCCGCCGACATCTACATCAGGGAGTATTTCCACGGCCACGTCACCAGGGGCCACTTTGAGGCAACTCCTCTCCGGGTGATGTACACCGACAGGCCACCAAACCAGACTGACCCAACCACACTGCAGTACTGTTGCCTGACCAAGGATGCCCGGGCCTTCCGCCCGCCCACGCAGGCAGAGCTGGTGAGGCACTGCGTGGTGGTCACCACCACCTCACAGGCCCGTGAGCTCCGCGTGCCCACTGGCTTCTTCTCCCACATCCTCATCGACGAGGCCGCCCAGATGCTGGAGTGTGAGGCCCTCACTCCACTGGCCTATGCCTCACCATGCACCCATGTGGTGCTGGCAGGGGACCACCTGCAGGTCACACCCAGGCTCTTCAGTGTGCCCAGGGCTAAGGCTGCGGGACACACCCTGCTGTACCGCCTTTTCCTGCACTACCAGCAGGAGGCGCACCAGATCGCGAAGCAGAGCCGCATCATCTTCCTCGAGAACTACCGCTCCACGGCGGCCATCATTGGCTTCATCTCACGCCACTTCTACCTGGCCAAGGGCAACCCCATCCAGGCCAGTGGCAAGGTCCCACCCCACCCCAGACAGTACCCACTCATGTTCTGCCACGTGGCAGGCACCCCGGAGCAGGACATGTCCATGACGTCCTGGCTGAACCCGGCAGAGGTCACACAGGTGGTGGAGAAGGTGCAGGAGGTCTACAATACCTGGCCCTACTGCTGGGGTGTCCGGGAGCAGAGGAGCATCTGTGCCGTCTCCCATGGCACTCAGGTGAGCCTGGTCAAGTGGCTTCCTCAGCCCTTTACTCAGCTGTGACGGAAGCGTCTGGATTCACCTTCCAGGTGGAATCATGAGACTGGTACCAGGGCTCGGTGGGAGGCCCCTCCTTCCGGGCAGCAGAGTCCTCATGCTCCCCGGGCCTATGTTGTCTCCAGGTCAGCGCACTGAGGCAGGAGCTGAGGAGGAGGAACCTGGGTGAGGTGTCTGTGGGCAGTTTTGAGACCCTGCCAGGTGGGTGAGCAGGAGGGACTGACCCGGCCCACCCTTCAGTCTTGCAGCATCAGGGGCTGGGCTTGGGCAGAAGCCTGTCCGCCTGTCCTGCCTGGTGGCCTCACACTTGTCCCCCTGCAGGGCGGGAGTTCCGGGTGGTGGTGCTGAGCACTGTCCACAACCGCCATAGCCTGATCAGCTGTGGGGCACCTACCTTGGAGTTCTTCACCGATGCCCGTGTGCTGAACACAGTCATGACCCGTGCGCAGTCCCAGTTGGTGGCTGTAGGTGATGCCATGGCCCTCTGCTCCTTCGGGGCCTGCAGCAAGCTCTGGAAGAGCTTCATCCGAGAGTGTGTGGAGCACAATAGTATCTTCCCAGAGGGCCTGTCACTGGGGCAGATTGAGCAGGGTGTGGCTGAGAGGCAGCACTGGGCCTCTGTGGCCCTCAGAGCAGAGAGAACATGGGCATCAGTAGTAAGGGGCACCAGCCTGGACAGGGCAGCCGGGAGCCCAGCCACCGAGCACACAGCTGTAGCAAAAGTCCTGCCAGGGCCTGTGACCACAAAGAGTGAGGCCACAAAGGTAGGGGACACTGCTGTTGGGGATCCATCACCAAGGGGAGCAGCCATAACACAGACGAAGGCAGAATCAGGAGGGGACATAGCAAAGGGAGACCCGGCATCCAGGCCAGCCTCCCTGGAGGGCAGAGCAGCTGAGGACCCCAAGGACTCGAAGTTGGACTTCTGGCCCTCTGATTGCGAGCTCAACGCTGATGACGCCATCCTGCAGGAGCTCCTGGACGAGAGCCGGCAGGTGACGGTGACTGTTGGGGAGGATGGACTGCTGGACACCCTGGCCAGGCCTGCGTCCCCACGGCTCGCCTGGCAGTATAAGAACCTGCCTGCAGGCACACTGCGGAGGCTGATGCACTCGGAGCCTGGGCGCTATCGCCGCTGTACCTTACTGAAAGAGACTTTCGAGTGTGCATCAGCTGTCCCGCTGGACGAGGCAGCCTCCAGCCCCATCCAAGTCAGGGGCCGCCTGAACTGCGGGATGGCCTTCACCGGGGATGAAGTGCTGGTGCAAGTCCTGGGCCAGTCAGCTGGTGACAGGGGTGTCCCGGGGAGGCTACAAGGCCGTGTGGTGGGCGTGCTGAAGAGGAAGAGAGGTGAGCTGGCATTCGTGTGCCGGATGGATGAGTGGGACCCCCGCATCATGATCCCCATCAACGGCTCTGTGACCAAGATCTTCGTGGCCGATCTGAAGGACCCACTTCGGGTTCCCATCCACCGCCTCTCTCAGGGCCGGGTGCAGTGTGTGGGACACAAGAACCTCACTGCCGAGGGCAGGCGCACTCAGCTCTTCTGGGTCCGCATCATCCTGTGGCGGGAGCGTTTCTATTACCCCCTTGGCATCATCCTGGAGGTGCTTCCTGAGGCCACCAGCTGGGAACAGGGCCTCTACATCCTTGGCCTGGAACACGGCTTGCGAACCTCCTTACCGGACTCGGCCTCCATCTCCAAAGCACTACAGAAACACCGTGTGGAACTCGGCACAGCTGCAGGCCACCGAGAGGACTGCCGAAACTTCCTGACCTTCACTGTGGACCCACAGGGTGCTTTCAATCTGGACGATGCCCTCAGTGTCCGGGACCTGGGTCCCAGGTACGAGGTGGCTGTGCACATTGCTGACGTGGCCAGTGTTGTGCCCAGGGATGGGGTGCTGGACGTGGAGGCTCGCCAGCAGGGTGCTGTGTTCTATGCCCCCGATAGGGAGCCAGTGTCCATGCTGCCGGCCGGCCTGTGCCAAGATGTGATCAGCCTCCTGCCGGGCAAGGACCGCCTCGCCATCTCCCTCTTCCTCACCTTGGACAAGGACAGTAGCCAGCTCAGGGGCCTGCGCTTTGCACCCTCTGTCATCTGCTCTGACCGGCAGCTGTCCTACGAGGAGGCCGAGGTGCTGATCAGGGCGCACCCAGGCGCTGGCATGGAGCTGCCGGCATGCCTGGACTCAGTGGAGGCCTGTGTGGTGGCTGCCTGCTACTTCTCCCGGGTGCTGCGCCGGTGTCGGCTGCAAGCTGCCTGCCTCTACGAGCCCCTGGATGAGGACAGTGCACTGGGCTTCCGTGCAGCCCACATCATGGTTCAGGAGTACATGATTCAATTTAACAGCCAGGTGGCTGAATTCCTGGTGGGCAACAAGCACACACAGGCGGTCACGCCCCTGAGATGCCAGCCCAAGCCCCTGACAGCCCAGCTTGAAGCCGTGCGTGAGAGGCACAGAGAACTGGTGCCCCTGTCCCTGCACCTCCGCCACCACCTGCAAGGCTGTAGCAGCCCCAGAAAACAAATGCACCTCCTGTCTTCTCTCTGGAAGCAGGTCCAGCTTGCTGCCCGCAGCCAGGACTATGGACAGATAGTGGATCTCATTGCCACTGATGACATTCACCCCTCCCTGGCTCCTCCAGGCCTGGACTTCTGCAAGGCCCTGGGCCGCTCTGTGTTTGTCTGCTCCAGCCAGGGTGAACAGCAGCTCATCGGCCACTACTCCCTGCAGGTGGGCTGCTACACATGGGCCACGTCACCCATCCGCAGGTACCTCGATGTGGTGTTGCAGCGGCTGATCCTGCTGGCGTTGGGCCGCCGGGGCGCCGCGTACTCCTCCAGGGACATCAATGCGCTCTGCCAGGACTTCGCCCGCCAGCATGCATGTGCTCAGAGCTACCAGCGGGGCCCCCAG